ACTGAATCTGTATTGTGTTGGATCTGTAGCCAAAATTCTGTCCATTGCATCATAGTGCCTCTTTCTTCTATATTTGTTTTTTAACCCATTATTAATCTTTTTAAATAAAAGGAGTAGTAGAGAAATACTAATCACTATGAGATTTTTTTTTTAAAAAAAGACCTGTTCTAACATTAAAAAAAAAAAGTTGAAAGTTGGACCATAAGAAAGGCTGAGCGCCAAAGAATTGAGGCCTTTGAACTATGGTGCTGGAGAAGACTCCTGCGAGTCCCCTGGACTGCAAGGCGATCAAACCGGTCAGTCCTAGAGGAGATCAACCCTGACTGCTCTTTAGAAGGCCAGATCCTGAAGTTGAAACTCAAGTACTTTGGCCATCTAATGAGAAGGAAGGACTCACTGGAGAAGAGCCTAATGCTGGGAAAGATTGAGGGCAATAGAAGAAGGGGACGACAGAGAATGAGGTAGCTGGATGGAGTCACTGAAGCAGTAGGTGTGAGCTTAAATGGACTCCAGAAGATGGTAGAGGATAGGAAGGCCTGGAGAAACGTTGTTAATGGGATCGCGATGGGTCGGACACGACTTCGCAACTAACAACAACAACAAACATTATAGTGGCTGCCATCAAGAGGCATTCATCTTTACCAGCCTTCCTTTCCTTCCATTCAATTGTGTCCAATTCTTGGAGAATGCCTGGACAAGCCCCTTTGGTTTTCTTAGGCAGGTTCTCAGAAGTGGTTTGTCATTGCCTCCTTCCTAGGGCTGAGAGAAAATGACTGGCCCAAGGTCACCCAGTTGGCTTCCGACTTAAGGCGGGATTAGAATTCACAGTCCCCTAGTTTCTAGCCTGGTGCCTTCACCACTACACCAACCTGGTTCCTTTCCCAATTATATAAGATTATAAAGAGATCAGGAAAATTTTGGGATCTAAAATTGTACACATACATATAAAATGTAGCTGGAATTGTGGACCGTGTTAAGTCAACTATAAGGGCTGATTTAAGAGTGTTTAATCTCTGAAATCCTCCCCCACCTTTTTTTTTTTTTNGTTCTGTTCCAAAAGGGTATTAGTCATCCCTTCAAAAGCAAATGTGGGCACCTCACCCTTTGTGGTGCTTCCAGTCAGTTATTGAGGGAGACATTTTGGTTATTTGAGGAGAAAAACAGCCTGAGAGGCTGCAGAATGAGCACAGCCAATGCGTTGCCTCCCAACAATATGAGGAGCCCATAGAGCACGCCTTAGCCAGAGAGAATTATGGATGTGGTTATCCATATTGTAAAATTAGGTGCTAAAATTCAAGGCATTAGCAAACTATATTTGAGAGTGGGAAATGAAGGGAGAGCGGTGAAAAGTATACGTAGTCCTCGACTTACGATCACAATTGGGACAAGAATTTCCATTGCTAAGCAAGTGAGTTGTTAAGTGAGTTGTGTCTGGTTTTATGATTTATTTATTTTTTTGCCATGGTTGTTAAGCAAATTATTCCAGTTAAGTGAATCATGTCATTAAGCAAAACTGTTTCTCCCATTATCCTTGCTTGTTGGAAGTTGGCTGGGAAGGTTGAAATGGCGATCACATGACCAAGGGACAATGCAACCATCATACATACATGCTGAGTCGAATTTTGATCACATAACCATGGAGATGCTCTGATGTTTATAAGTGCAGGGTCATAAATCACTTTTTCCAGTGCCGTTGTAACTTTGAATAGTAGATAGTTGTAAATTGAGGACTATCTGTAGCTGAGAAGATTGTAGTCGTTTATCATGGGTGGAGTTGGTTGAACAGTGATTACCACTCTGGTGCTACCTCAGTATTCACCAGAACGATAACTTTGATATTGCTGGGACCATATTTTCAGAATCCCAGTAATTACGTTCAGTACAAATATCTGAAGAAGGATAAAAGGTACTTGCCTTAAAGATTAACTCTTATTTGATCCAGACTCTAAATTTGCTTGCCAGCAAATTTTCAAAGCTAGCACTTATCACTATTAGCTAAAATAATAATTATGAATGCTTCATTTGAATGAGGTTGACCTTTGATAATATTACCAGCATTACACTGTCATCGTACTTGCAATTTTTTCCTCTGTTTTATTATATTTTATAGCAAGGTCACAAAATAAACTGAATATAAGCATACAAATGAACAGTGAAACAAACAATGAAATGGTGAAAATATGAACTACAAAACCCACAGAATTAAAAAGAACATAGAATATATAAAAAAAACCACCCCACCACCACCAAAGCAAAAAGAACCTAGCTAAAATTTAAAAGCTATTTTACCACTGTACTTTTACATGGAGAGTTAGTTTTAGTAGAGATATCTAGAAAAAAGTCTGCTGGCAAGTGAATTTACAATCTGGAATTAATAAGAGAGAGAGTATTTTAAAGCAAGTGCCTTTTATCTTCCTTTTTAATATTTATGTTGAGCTTAATGAATTGCATATATATTATTTGAGCATTTCTGATTTCTCCTAACTTGGTGAGCACAAGACATTTAGGCAGGTAAGGACTTTAAGTTCATGTTTTGATTTTGAAACTTTGCCTATTTTTTTCCCCTGAGGTAAAAAAACCTACAAATCACTGAAATTTATCTTCCAATCGACTTAGAAGATGTTTGAGAGCCTTTATGGTCCTCTTTTATAGGCCTTAATTTTGTTTAAGTTTGATTGCAGATACTTCAAAGGCAGAGTTCCTTTGAATAAATCTCTGTGTTACCTTTTTCCAAAGAAAAATACACAAGATATTTATAAGAGACATAGAAAAAAGGACTGCAAATATTTCTCTGACAACTTGAATTTTAGCTAAAAATTTAGCTGAAGTTTAAGCATTTGACATCCTATATCTACTTGATTTTCCTTTCTAATGTACACCATTACATTCCTGTTTTGACAGCCTGAAAAATTCATTTTGTACTTTTGTATCTGATTCTATACTTGTGTTTTGCAATGAGCCTAAAATCTGGTATGGTTTATCGTGCCTTAGATGTGTGTACCCAAATCACCAGGGATGACAGCTTTGTAATTAAAACAGTAAGCCTGTAATGTAGAAGCTGTAATTATGTGGCCAGAGGCTGGACTGGGAATAGAACAAGGCAAGAAATTCTGCACATTATAGAAACGGCAACATGAAGAAACAATATCCTTGGGATGCCTAGGGAGACCTCGCTAATCTAATCTACTCTAACCCCATAGAAGAAACGTTACCGTCCTTGTGGAGCAACATCTTGCTGCAAATGTTCCCATGCTAATCAGAAATGAGAGCAAATGCTGAAATCTAGAGAGGGGTGGCAAAAGAGAAAATGTTATGAACTGATACAGTGATGGAAAGGGTCCAAATTACGTGCCGTCTTCAAAAGCCTTGGAGGACACTCCTGGAGCCTTTCAGAAGTTGTTACCAAAGTTTCAATGTAACAGAAAGAAGAAAATGATTCTATACAGTTGTTTAATTATATTAAATTCAGCTTGGCTTGTAGTCAAGATTATAGAAGTGTAGCGGTACAGTTTAGCATATTCAGGAGTCGGCTGTTAAATCTTTCCAGGTTGAAGTTTAAGAACATCTTATCCCCATAATCTCTGCTGCAAACTGACATTTACTTTACTAGGAGATAATAGTAGTCCAAAGTTTAGGATTTGGGATACAATTGAATCATTGCAGAGTTTACCAAATAACTTGGTTATCTCTTTCTGTAGATTGCAACTTTATGGAGTATAAGAAATTGCAGCTGTGTATATGAAACTTTCTTTCTCGCCACATCCTCTTCCCCCATTCGTGTTTTACACTCCGAGTAGGAACAAAAATTAATGTTGAGATTTCTATCCCATCTCCTTTTTACCTTGTTACAGTAACTAGCCATTGTGGAAATGATTACTTACTGCATTCGTCTCTTTTGGGTGTTCCTTTCCATGCTGGCTATTCAGTTACTGCATCGTGCTTATTTATTTATTTATTAAATCTATATGCTGTCTGTCTCACTATCCAACCAATTTTGGTGGCGTGGTACCAATCCTTGCAGAACGTGAATGCTTTTGCTTCAGGTTGTGAGGGAGTTGATGTGATATCTTAGTGAGTGGTGCAGTCTAGATTTCTAGTTGGAATTGTAATTTTCCAGGAAAAACCAAGTATATTGCTATTGCTCTTGACACTTCCTATGAGAGGAACCCAGTGAATAAGCCAAGAAGCCTTCGTTCTTGGTTTGTTTAGCCCTAAATACCGCCCTTGTTTCGCTTAAGAAGTCAGACTGGTAAATTAGGTTTTGTTTGTGGCTTATTGAATCTGACTTGTCCGAGGAGAAAAAGGACAGGGATTCTGATTCAGATGTAATGATGAAGAAGCTGCTGACAAGGTTTCTCTAGTTCTTCCTCTAGTTTGGTGGCGTGGACCTGGTGGGCACATTTTACCAGATTGTAAAATGCTTGCTTATTCCCAGTTACGCATAGTGCCAGATAATGGGCTTCCTGTTATGTTGAAATTGAGCCATCATGTTATATTTGGGCTCTTACTGTTTTTTAACCATAGAAAGAACATTGCTAAGCTAAGCTGGCTTCTACTTGGATAGGGAGACTACCAGGAAATCTCTTATCAGGAGAAACCACCAGGTTTACAAGTAGATTAGGAAGTCAAGAAAGCATCCTAAAATATGTCCACCATTTTGCTTTTATTGCCAAAAGGCCTAATAACTATATATAAGAACCAAGCTGTACCCTCCCCATGATACGTCTGTCTCCTGATTGTGCACGTTTTACAGATAGTTTTAATAACTCTATAACAATATTTGTATAAATTGATTTTTTCCCAGTCATAATAAAAATGGATAGAGTGACTTGCAATATAAGGTTTGTAATAGTGAAACCTATTAAATAAATCTATAGTAGAGATGCTGTTAAAGCGATTGTGCAGCAGTAATGAGGGCAGAGCTTCCATCTTTTCAATTTTTTCAGTGTGTGTGTGTGTGTGTGTTTTTTATGAACCTGTTTTCCCTTTTTTAACTTTAGGTAAAGAACAGTCTTCCTTGGAGGCAAACATGTTGCCGGCACCTCTGCCTTCTCTGGCTGGTTTTGCTAAAGAGTCCGGCTCTTCCAGGCATGGTGAGCACCACCATCACCACCACCATGAACACAAGAAGAAGAAGAAGAAGCACAAGCACAAGCATAAGCATAAACACAAGCATGACAACAAGGAGAAAGAGAAAGAGCCTTTCACTTTCTCCAACAGCCCAGCCAGTGGACGGTCCATTCACTCACCCTCCTTGTCAGACTGATGCAAAAGACCCTGGGACGGAGAGAGCCTTGGTGGGTCTTCATAATCAAAGCCAAGGTGCCACAGGAGTTCAGAACTTAGACGAGATCCCAAGTTGCTCTTCTGTTGGTCAGAGGCATTGATCACACTCAGACAAGGGGAATGAATGAGGGTTTAGGAATCTTATCAAAATGTTCTTCCAGCTACCTGCCTTATATTCTTGTTAATACTTGTGTATGTTGAACTTCAAATGGCTTTCATGATGTGAAGTAAGTATTAAACGAAAGCCGGATGGCCAACCTTCTCAAAAAGCTCTAGTGCTTGGTATAATGTTGTAGGACATAATTTGAGCTTCCTGAAACATTTGTAGAATTCTTTTTTTTTTCCTTTCTTTTTATTCCTTAACTGTTTCAACTGTCCCACCGCTTTTTAAACTCTTTTAAAAAAATGAATTTAACTTGTTTGAACATGGCAACCTTTGACAGTCAAGTCCATTGGATTGTTTACTTTGGCAGGGGAAAAAATTGCTATCTATTCTGCGCTCTGTAATCAGACTCGTAACTGAGAACGGTGTTTAAACAAAAATGACAAAACTGGCAAAAGAAGCTCTACCTTAGAATGCTGATTAAGGTATCAACATTTAAAATATAGTTGTGGGAGAGACAACAGGGCAAAAAATGTCTAGTTTCTCATCAGATTGATGGGAAGCACTTGAACAAAACACTTTTAAATGTACAGCAAATAAAGCATGACGCTGTAATTTAAAGAGTTTTATTCATTGTAATAATAAACACCCACCAGATAGTCTCTTGAAAAGCTGTGATTATTATGTAAAATAGGACTGGTTTTTAACTTTTTTACTCAATTCTACGTGATATTATGTTTTTTCGCTCTGTTAATTTTCTACAATTTGAGTTGTCTTCACACTAGTCCAGGTTTTTTTTTCCCTTGAGAATTCAGCCTTAGGCTAAACATTTTTATAATTTTGTGTGCATATTTCTTTAGTATTATTTAACATCTGTTTCAATAGACAACGCTGGTTTACAAAAGATGATTAAATAAGGTAGCCAAAAAGATTGTGTGTGTTTTTTAAAAAAATAAATAACGCCATTCATTAATAAACTTTTTGTACAATGCACTATTAAATATTCTGAACTTTGGCTTTTGTATAGATAGTTAAGATGAGGAAAAGAAAAATAGGTGCCACCATGGAAGTTGGGTTTCGTCTGTCCTGTTATTGCTATATTATCCCAAAAGTGCATTATTATCTCTATATGGAATCCTTGGAGTACGATTGTTAAATGTCCTGTATACTTTCAATTAGCATAGAAGTGCTGGTTCTTAGCTGGAATCTGCTCTATCTTGATGCAACATTTTCTTCATTCAAGCCTCAGTTTTTTGCTGTGATCAGTTTTGTATTGTTGTTGTTCTGTTTGATTTACTTAGAAAACAATAGCGTGCTGTGGAACAGCTGTTCAGAAGAGCCTCTCAGTATGAGATAACAGCCATTGAATCTACAAGTAGGTTTTCTGTTTTATATTCAAAGAAAATTTCAGCTACTTACTGCAGTTGAAAGCCATTTCTGGTCAAACTGTATTTCATGGGTTGCATTGACTTATTTTACCACTTGAAAGTTCTATACCACCCTTCATCCTCAAATAAACTGTAATTTATTAAATTTATATACCGCCCATCTCATGGTGAGGCAATTCTAGGTGGCTTATAACATCATAAAAGCAAAAATACAAACCATTAAATCATTAAATCTTTCTCTTCGTTAAATCTAGTTTAACGAAGAGAAGGACGAAGGGGGACATGATAGCAGTGTTCCAATATCTCAGGGGCTGCCACAAAGAAGAGGGAGTCAAGCTATTCTCCAAGGTGCCTGAAGGCAGGACAAGAAGCAACGGATGGAAACTGATCAAGGAGAGAAGCAACCTAGAACTAAGGAAGAATTTCCTGACAGAACAATTACCCAGTGGAACAACCTACCTCCAGAAGCGGTGAATGCTCCAACACTGGAAGTTTTTAAGAAGAGACTGGACAGCCATTTGTCTGAAATGGTGTAGGGTTGGACTCGATGACCTCCATGGTCCCTTCCAACTTTATTATTAGTATTATTAGTATTATTAGTATTAGTATTAGTATTATTATATATTAAAATTAACAGAAATTAGATAAGTTAGAAACCAAAATATAATGGGATAGGGTCTTCTTCAAAATCCATTAACCACCTCCAGCCTGGGATACCCCCATCAGGGGCCCAGACCAATCAGCAGAGCCAGGTTTTCAGGCTCTTTTGTAAGGTTAAGAGGGTGAAAGTGGATCTTACCTTGAAGGACACAATATTTTAGAGGATGGGAGCTGCGGCAGAAATGGCTCCTCTCCCGGACCCAGCCAGCTGGAATTCCTTGACCAAGGGGGTCTACCAGAATGATTGGTGTGGGCCAATCCCATTGGAGTGAAATAAGTTAATTTAGGTTAATCCTAATATCTAGACCTAGAATCACCCAAACAGTGAGAAGGATGGTATATAAATTTAATAAATAATGATATAAATAAATTTTGGGAAGCAGGGTATTTCCATGTTCATAAAACTATGCAATTGATGGGACACATTTTCTCAGTATCATTGAATGAACGGAGTAGTGTCCTGTCTGTAAACTCCAAACCTAAAACATCTGGTTGGTTATCCTAGGAATTGACCTCTGGCCAAAGTACGCTTTTGATCGATTCAATAGAACTGGTCTTACCGTGTTGTATAAGTAAATTAAAATTTTGGATACTTTTATAGAATGTTCAAGACTGGAACCTACTTTGGTCATTCATTAAGACAAATCTCAACCTTGACTATTTCAACGCACTCGTGTTAATAATAATAATAATAATAATAATAATAATAATAATAATAATAATAATAATAATAATAATAATAATAAAAAAGTTGGAAGGGACCCTGGAGGTCATCGAGTCCAACCCCCTGCTCAGGCAGGAACCCTACACCATTTCAGACAAATGGCTGTCCAGCCTCTTCTTAAAAACTTCCAGTGTTTGAGCATTCACCGCTTCTGGAGGCAGGTTGTTCCATTGGTTAATTGTTCTAACTGTCAGGAAGTTTCTCCTTAGTTCTAAGTTGCTTCTCTCCTTGATCAGTTTCCATCCGTTGCTTCTCGTCCTGCCTTCAGGCGCCTTGGAGAATAGCTTGACTCCCTCTTCTTTGTAGCAGCCCCTGAGATACTGGAAACTGCTATCATGTCCCCCCTCGTCCTTCTCTTAATTAGGGTGAGAGTAGGGGCTCCCTTAATTTTCCTCCATGGCCTCATTGATGCTACAGCTGCACCTGAAGGAACAACACCTTCAAAACCTCAAGAGTTGACAAGCTTTGGATATGTTCTTTATTTAAGATATAAAAATCTCAAAAGAGGCTCATAAAATAAATACAGACCAGTTGCTGATTCATTAAAAGCCTGGCAATGTTATACTCTCCATGACAGTTCTTATTTTAAATTATTACAATCTTTGATATTATTAAAATATTTCTGTTGCTATTCAGCCATCATGTCTTGGCACTTTACTGAAAAGAGGTAATTGTTTAAAAAAAAAATCTGACTAAAATTAAACAATTGCAGTAGACTGAAATAAAATTGCATAAAGAGAAAATATAAATATCGGGTGACATTGAAATAAGGATAATATTGCTCCAGATGATCTTTGGGATGTGTTCATATCTGTCACTGCAGATGGCAATAGTAATAATTTCCAAATTGGCATCTTTCTGTATAATTTTATGCAAATTTCTGTGTTTTTTACTCCTCCCTTTCAGTATTTTTTCCTCCTGCGCAGAAAGTCCCATTTCTATGCAAACAGATGAATTTACCTTGTTCTCTACAAGTTCTTTTAACATTTGGATGAAAATATTAAGGGAATGCTTATCAAATCTTCAGAAGAGACTGATTAGAAGAGGACAGCTAACATTCAAAACAATCTTGAGAGGTTGGTGAAAGTAATAGAGAAAGGGTGAAAGTAATAGAGCAAGAAAGACAATACACTATAAAGCTCATTGTTTAGGTAAAATAAAACAAACATTGATAGGAGATACCTAGCTTTTAAAAAAAGGGTATATAGAAAAGATCTTGGATTTCTAGCTATTCACAAGTTGAATATGAGTCATCAGCATGGCATGACTGCTAAAAGCAGTAAATAAAATATTTCGAAATGTCAAGGCAGAAACCAATAGTTCACTGTGTTCTGTACTGGTGAGACTCCAGTTTGTGTGCTATATACAATTTCTGGTTCCACATTTCAGCAACAATATAGAAATTGGAACAAGCGCAAGACAACAAAAATGATCCAAGATGGAAACCAAGTTTTTTGAAGAGAGACTGTTTAAACTGATTATGCTTAATACAGGGAGTCCTCGGCTTATAACCACAATTGGGACCAGAACTTCTGTCACTAAACAATCCAGTCATTAAGTGAGTTGCATCCAATTTTATAACCCTTTTTTGTTGTTGTGATTGTTAAGCTACTTCCATGATCATTAAGCAAATCTCGCTTCCCCATTGACTTTGCTTGTCAGAAGCCCTCAGAAAAGATCACAAATGGTGATTACATGTCCCTGGGACAACCATCATAAATACATACATGCCAATTGCCAAGCAGCCAAATTTTGATCACGTGGCCAGGGATGCTGTGATGGTCATAAGTGTGAGGACCGGTCATATATAACTTTGAATAGTTACTAAATGAATGATTGTAAGTTGAGGACCACCTGTATAATAATACTTTCCAGATATCTCAAATGTCATATAGAAGGAAATCAAAATTGGTTCCCTGTTGTTTCAAAGTGTAGACATGGATTAATGGATTTAAGCTACAAGAAGGCATATTTTAGTGGATTTAAAAAATTCCTCGTAAGATTATTGTGACAGTGAAACTAATTATCCAAGCAGGTGGGATCTCCCTTTTTATGGCTGCTTCAAAGTAATGATATATTGGAAGTGCTTTCGTTTGGATTCCTGCACTGGATTGGCAGGATAGTTTTAATGTTGGGTGGTTTTCCAACTCCAGCATTCTTGAAATCTTTTAATGGCTATCAGATGTTTCTTTTCATTCCATTTTAGAGATGGAATGCCTCAGAATCACAACTTGTTCCCTAAAAGATGTACAGGAGAAAGATGTAGAGCTCATTTCCATAATTTTTGTAGATCTCTCTCTCTCTCTCTCTCTTTCTCTCTCTCTCTCTCTATCTCTCTCTCTATCTATCTATCTATCTATCTATCTGCTATACATGTCCAATTAAAAATGATGCAAACTGCATTTAGTTCTACTTCTTTCTTCTGCTTCTGATAAAGTGAAACCAATAGCAGTAGCAAACTCTTCACAAAGTCATTTGTAAGTAGCATGACAAAGCTTTTATTTTCTTATGTTCTATTTGTTGAGCATTTCTGCTTTTTAATTTTTTTTAAAGCACCACCCTTTTGTTGATGCGTAAAGTTTTCCAGTTAACCCTAAGGCAGACCTTTGATCTGTTCTTCCTGTTCCAGGTTTCGTTCCTGGTAAACACTGTGAGAAATAAATACTGGACAATTGCCATGTATTTTTGAATCCAAGTATACAGCTGATGGTGCAACACTTGGAAAAGACACATAAAATGACACTTGCTTGGTTCATTTGGGATTCTCCACATATTTCGGGTCACAACCCTCTTTGGAAAAAAATACGAATTTTGGGGAATATGTGAACATCAGTGAAGTGGAACTATCACACATCATTTTTTTTTATTCTCATTCTTTCTAGTGGTCATGTAAGTTTTCCAAAATGCACAGGAATAATTTGCTGTTGGCATGAAGCCATTACTTTGTTTCTAGATCAGGGTTGTCACCAACCAGGTAACTTTAAGACTTGTGGACTTCAATGATTTGAAGTTTATTCTTTCAGTTATTACCGTTAGTAATAATAGTAATAACTTTAATGATGAGTTTCGAATCAATCAGAATGGAAGCTTTATATAAGCTGAAGCAATACTTTTATTTCCCTGTTTGCTCCAAAATGCTCCTGTATCAAAATGCATGTAATAGAAAGATGTCATTAAAATACTCT